TTTCAGCAAAGAAATTACCGAGATTCGAACCCCAAGTTCATAGCTTGCTGCATGTAGCGTTCATACCACTATGCTATACAGACAAGCTTAACAACCCCGGCGTAGAGGTCTGCAATACGTTTACCTTTACACAAGTTAGAAAATATTTCAGCAAATAATTTACCGGGATTCGAACCCCAAGTTCATAGCTTGCTGCATGTAGCGTTCATACCACTATGCTATACAGACAAGCTTAACAACCCCGGCGTAGAGGTCTGCAATACGTTTACCTTTACACAAGTTAGAAAATATTTCAGCAAATAATTTACCGGGATTCGAACCCCAAGTTCATAGCTTGCTGCATGTAGCGTTCATACCACTATGCTATACAGACAAGCTTCAGTTGCACCACCGACTTATCTTTTCTTTGTAAATGCATACGTACAAGCGCTCAGATACAGATCTAGACCTGTGCACAGGGACGAGAAGAGAGGTGCAGGACGACCTCTATTCACCGTCTTTCGACTACACGTACAAACACGCACATGCCGAATGAAAGCTTGCTTAATTCCACGAATTTCCTATGGTAAAATTTGTAAAATTTAAGAACCAAAAAGTAAGAACTAAAAGTAAGAACTATAAAAAACTAAACTAAACTAATAAAACTATAACTAAACTAAACTAATAAAACGTATCGTCAAATTCTTACCTGATAAGATTGTTTCTCAACTAGTTAAAAATCCAAAAACCCTGGACGATTTGATATTAGTGTTCCTGACATTAATTGCTTGCTATGGGCTATGTATGAGTCACGAGTGTATGTTCACACCGAACAATATAGTAAAATAAGAAGTATAATGCAGCAATTTAACCATAAAAAGTGAACAGAATTACTTGTATTTTCTGAAAAAGTGGATTTTTTTTTACTATTTACGATGACGTAATCACTTTAAGGAGTATGTACAATAATGAATACTTATGACGGCAAGTGATTTCTACATATAATTCTTAGCTTGAAAGATGATTGGTGAATGGCTTGCTGGATGAATGTGATTACGGAATTATGCGAGTTTGTAAATTTCGAAGACATTTTCCTCGATGATAAAACAATAGAATTAACGTGAGTACAAACAGCTGACAAGGCAAATCTCTGAACAACCGCTGACAAGAGACAGGATTCTATCTACAGCAAGATGCAACACAACTAAAATCAAACGTCGTCTGGTTAATTATTAATACCGTATTATACGGCGGCTAATTAATGCCGCCTTAAAATACAACAATCTGTCCTTCCAATATTTATAGCAACACACGATCACACTAAAACGTTCACGTTATACTGCAGCCACTAAACAACAAACGAATCAGTCATTTAGTTATAAATATAGTCTTTTAGTTAGTTTAATTAAATCACAGCAAATAATTACAACGAGTATGATCGAAATCTGAATAAATCCGTTAAGATATAATAATGACGTCAAAACTAAATGCGTATCTACAGAACACCTGCCGTCAGGTGAGCGCTGTCGCTCTGCGGCACTTGTTCGTATAGTACCTTGGACTTTGAAGATTTATTCTCATACGAGGTTACAGCTTTTCTCTGCATGGTCCTGTTCTGTCCCCAGATATCTATTATATAACGAGACGATTGGCACTGGAAAATAAA